CGCCCCGCCCCCGCCAGGCGGCCGGCCGCCCCGTGCCGACGCAGCTGATGAACGTGCTGCTGCGCGCCATCGCGCGGCTGGGCGGCAACGTCACCGCCGTCGGCAAGGCGTTCGACATGTACTCGCACTACGGCGCCGCGCACGACGCCGACAGCTACACCTGCGTCATGGAGTCCTGCGCCGCCGTCGGCAAGGCGCGCCGGGGGCCCCCGCCGCGCAGCAGCCCCCCCCCTCCTCGCGGGTACTCGCCCGCCCAGCCCCGCCGCCTGCCACGCGTCCCTCGCGCCCCGCGCGCACGCCCTCGCGCCCGCCTCGCAGCCCCGCTGACGCGCCCCGCCGCCGCGCCCCCAAACCTCGCCCGCCGCCCGCCAGGTGGAGCCGATCCAGGGCCTCCTGGTCCACATGCGCTCCCAGGGCGTCGCGCCCACCAGCGCCAGCTACAACCTGCTGCTCGCGGCCGCGCTGGAGGCCAAGGACCTGCGGACCGTGATGGGCCTGCTGACGCGCCAGCAGGGGCGCCCCTCGGCGGTCGAGGGCCTCGTGCTCGACCCGGCGGTCCTCGAGAAGCTGCTGGTGCTCGCATACAAGGCCGGCAACGGCGCCGCGGAGGCGCTGATCCACACGACGATGATGCGGCGCAAGATGTACGGGAGCCTGCGGAGGGCCGACGCGGAGATCGACAGGCTCAGCCGCGGCGGCGGCGGCGGCGAGCGCGGGCCTGCTTCGGGGCGGGCGGAGGGGCGGCAGCAGCAGGGTCGGCAGCAGCAGGGGCAGCAGCAGCAGGGGCAGCAGCAGCAGGGGCAGCAGCAGCAGGGGCAGCAGCAGCAGGGGCAGCAGCAGGGGCAGCAGCAGGACCGGTCGCAGCAGGAGGCGCTGCGGCAGCCTGCGGGCGCAGGGCAAGACCGCGACGCGGGCGATGACGGGGACGCAGCGGGCAGCAGCGCGGCAGCACAGCAGCAGCAGCTGCTGTCGCAGGACGAAGACAAACTGGAAGCGCCGGCGTCGGGCGCGCGGGCCGCAGCCGCGGGCGCGGCAGGCCAGCAGGAGGCTGGCGCCGCAGCGGCGGCGGCGGCGGCAGGGGCGGCGGCGGCGGCGACAGACGGGTGGACATCCCAGGCGTTCGTGGGCCTTGCGGAGGCTGGCAGCGCGGGCAGCCACCTGGACGAGCTCGCGTCTGCTGCTGCAGGTCACGGAGCGGGGTCAGATGTCAGCAGGGATAGTAGCGGCTCCACTGCGGGTGCTGGCAGCGGCGGCGGCAGCGGCAAGGCCTAGCACGGGCCGCCCTGAGGAAGGGCTGCGCCCTGTGAGGCTCGCGGATTCAGTGGTACAGCTTAGTAAGCAAAGCTTTGTGCGTGATGCGTCAAGCTTAGTTCCTTAGGCAATGAGAGTCAGCAGACATTCGCAACGGGTGTCACGGGGCTGTGCCGCTGGGGCTCAAAGCAAAGCGGGCGTGCCAGCAGCCAGTGGCAGTCGTCGCACCGCTGTGCCATGCACGACGCCCTGCTGTTTTCGCGAGCCATTGAACCCATCCACTCAATTTTGACGAGGACTGCCAGCTATGCCATGGTATAAGGTCGCCTGAAGCCCCTGGGGCGCCCGTCAGCATTAGCCAGGAGCGTCAGCTGCACGCCCTGCGTGCCCTGGCTACACCCACACAACACCACTTGCATTCTGGCCTCGTTGTTCCTGTCTTCCTACGGTTCGTGCACGCAATCTATATCTTGCTTAGTATTCACTTGCATTTGGTCTCCTCAATCGCCTAACAAACCGATTGGCGTGGCAGCAGATCATCGTTGGCAACACAAGCGCAGCAGCCGGCCATGGCGAGCTCGTGGGATCAGTACATTGACCACCGTGAGTGCCGGCTACGCCGCTCTCGGCGCAGTTTGCCGTGACCGGAGGGCACACTGCCCTGCAACTCACTCGTTCTCCCCCGCCCGCATGCGCAACGCAGTCCTTGTGGACCTCCCTCATGGTGGCAAGCTCTCATCAGCGGCCATTGTGGGCCAAGACGGCGGCGTTTGGGCGCAGAGCCCAGGCTTCAGCGGGATCACCCCTGAACAGGTGCGGAAAAGCATGGATGGCCCGAACATCGTGCTTATACGACGCAGTATCAATGCGATAGGGCGCTTAGCATCGGCGCGCCGCGTCCAACGATATGCAAGTGCACAACCCAGCGCCGCCATGCAGCTGCAGCGGACCTCTGATGGGACAGCAGCTTCGAGCTGAGGCGCGCTCGTTCCCTTCCCTCCTCCTCCCTCTTCGTCGACCCTGCGCCATCTGCCTGTTCCAAGCAGGTCACCGCCCTCATGAACGGCTTTGCGTCGCTCGAGAAGGACGGCCACGCGGGCGAGTTGGGCGGCAACGGCATCAAGCTTGGCGAGGTCAAGTTCCAAGTGGTGCCCGGTGATGAGACGGTGATCCGCGGCAAGTCCAAGGGCGGCGGCCTGTGCGTCAAGCGCACCAACACCGCGCTCGTGATCGGGGTGTACGACGAGCCCGTCGCGCCCGGCGACTGCAACGTGGTCGTGGAGAACTTGGGGGACTACCTGAAGAGCATGGAGTACTAGGCGGCGGCCTCTCCGCCAGCCCCTCCGCCCGTCGCGCCTGGAGGAAGCGGGGGACTGGCCGGTTCCTGGCGGCAGGGCAGCGGCTCACAGGCTCGTGGCGTCGCACGGGACGGAGGGGTGCCTGCGCCAGCGCTGCCCCGTCGGCCATTTTTAATGGGGCCAGTGGCGCCGCGGCCCATTCGCAGCTGCGACGACGAGGTGGCTCAGAAGTGCTGCCTCTGCCATGCAGGCGCGTGCGCGCGCGAACCAGCCCTGCCCGTGCGTTGCACGCGCGCATCCGCTCTGCAGGCTGATGGAACGCCCGCAGGGCAGAACTCGATTAGTGGGCCACGCGGTGGCCGCTCCCTCCACACTAGAGACATGCGGCAGTGCTGTTGCCCTGCACAGCGCAGCGGGCAGGCACACCTGCAATCGATCGGTGTGCGCCGCCCACCCTAGCCTCCTCGCCCTGCGTCTCTGCGGCAGGATTGCATGACCTGTGCGCTCTCACTCGCAGACGCTCTCTGTTCTGAACATTTGTAATGTCCCTCCCAGCATGGCACGCAGCAATCATGGCGGGCTGTGTAGTGAGCTCAGACATAAAATCAGATTGACAGCTTGGAGTGCCTAGAGAAGCAGGCTCGCTTGCACAGCGCCTAGCCCCGCCTGCTCCCAAACACTCAGCTGCATGGGCTTGCGCACTGTGTGTGCAAGCAATCAATTACTGAAGGTGTTCCACAAATGACGATAAGCGAGAGGCACGCAGTTGTGGCTGCAGTCTACAGCGCCACATGTACCTGTGTTGGCATCAGGTGTCAAGGTCGGTGCAGTGACAGGTGGGTGCGGCACCGCCGCGCTCTGGGTGTACCAAGTGGAGCGCCAAGTGTGGAAAAGGATAGACCTGCAGGGTCAGTGGGCGTAGCACGCCTGGACAAAGCAGGCCCAAGGTTTGTCTTTGTTGCCTGCACACCCGTCCAGGCAGCTCGGATCGGGGAAAAGGGATCCTCTTCGTCGCCAGCGGCTCAAGTCTTTCACAACAAGCAGAAAGAGTTTCACATATCAACTTACCTTTACTCTAGGGAGGCGGGTCGGGTGGCTCGTGGGGCATTCGCTGTGTGATCGAGCAGGTGGGGCCTGCGTGGGCGTCGCACTTGTAGATGGGAGAAAAGCCACCAGTCGTCGGTGATGCATGCCCTGGCAACAAGGAGGGCACCAGCAAGCGGCGTCGGCGTGTCTGCGGCACTGCTGTGCTCCGCCGCGACACCAGCGCTGAGCACCCTGCCCAAACGCACGCCCCCTTGCTCCGTCCGATGCGGTCGGCGCACACCATGCCATACCTTACCAGAGAGGTCTTCTGGGCTCAGCTTTGCATCCCAAGGGTGGGGGTGACGACAGCGGCGATGGCGCAGCCGCAGCAGCAGCGGCAGCAGCAGCAGCAGCAGCAGCAGCAGCAGCAGCAGCAGCAGCAGCAGCAGCAGCAGCAGCAGCACCTGCGCCACCTGCTGGACCTGTCCGACGACGATGACGAAGACGGCGACGTCTGCCGCATCTGCCGCATGGGCTCGGCGCCCGCCAATCAGCTGTACTGGCCCTGCAAGTGCAGCGGGTCCATCAAGTTCGTCCACCAGCAGTGCCTGCTCGACTGGCTGCAGCACTCTGGGCGGCTGCAGGCGGGCGCATTCTGCGAGGTGGGGGCCAAGGGGACGGGCGGCGGGGCCCTCTCAAATGATGGGGCTGCAGAGGGCCGTGCTCTAACGGCGGGCGGGCAGCAAAGCGGCATCCGCAGGGCGTCAAGCCAAGCAAGCAGCTTTCCATCCGGGGCCTTTCTGCGCCCTCACACGCCCCAACCCTTCCAGGTGTGCAAGCACCCCTACAGCTTCACGCCGGTGTACGCGGAGGACGCTCCCAGCAGGCTGCCGTGGCACGAGCTGATGTGGGGGCTGGTCGGCCGTGCGGCAAAGGGCGTGAGGCTCGCGCACAGGGTGAGCAGGGGCTGGGAAGCGGGGGCGCGGTAGCCCATGATGCGCGGCGCCGAAGAAACGGCGGCCGCCCAGTGGCAGAACTTGTGGCCGGGCACGGTCCCCCTAGCGGGCCGGCGACCGCGCGTTGGCGCAGGGCTTAGCTGGCAGCTGCCAGTCAGCGCTGCATGGCAGGTGGCGGCGCCTTGTCGGAGTCGCGCGTTGATACCTCGTACCCTGCACGCCCGCAGGTGTGGGTGGTGTCGTCCTTCTGGCTGGTGCTGGTGCCGTGGCTCACCTGCCTGGCGTGGCGGCTGGCCTTCCTCTCCGCGTTTGGGGACGTGCCGAAACTGCTGCGCGCGCGCTGCTCGCTTCTGGCGGCCGCTACAGACTGCGTCCAGGTCAGCGGCCCCGCGGCCGCGGCCAAGGGGGCAGCACACGCGCCTGCACAGGAGCGCGCGCGGCAGCTCAGGCCGGGGTCGGCCCGGCCCGGGCGGTTCCTTCGCCTTGCAGCAGCCAGCCGAGGGAATTCCCCGCTTGCCGTTCGTACCCGACCCTGGAACATTCCCACTTCACACATCCGCCTGCCGCCGGCTTTGCAGGGTTCTGTCCTGTCGATCTTGATCGTGCTGCTGAACATGGGATTCACCAGTCTGAAGGATTACGTGCGCGGCTGCATCAGGGCCCTAGAACAGCAGGTGGTGCGCGGCGGCGGCGGCGGTGCGGCCGCAGCAACGGAGGCGGAGGCGGAGGCAGCGGAGGTGGCGGCGGCGGCCGCTGCGGATGCTGCAGAGGTGGAGCCAGTTGCGCCGCCACGGCGGCACGCCGAGGCGGAGGCGGCGGCGCGGCCTTTGCTGGCGCCGAGCGTGGGCGCGGAGGGGGATGCAGCGGCGGCGGCGGGCGTGGACGCAGGGGCCGACGGGGCGGCGCGTGCGGGGCAGCAGCAGCTTGGAGAAGGAGCGGGAGACACCGCGGCGGCGGCAGGGCCCAGCACAGACGGGTCGGCGGGGTTGGGGGCAGAGGCAGCAGCGACGGCGTCGGCAGGGCGAGCAGGTTTGGCGGCGCAGGCGGGCGGCTCCAGCAGTGGGTCTGGGAGCAGCAGCGACAGCAATTCGGCGGGCGCGGCCGCGCCTGTTCCGGCAGCAGCGAGAGACGCGGCACTGGACACAGATGCCGCGGCTGCCGCAGCAGCAGGGCGTGGCGCCGGCGCCCCCAACGGCGGCGCCGCCAGGCAGCAGGCCCCGCCCGAGCCCGCCC